CTAAAATCTACTTATTCTCTTTTAATATAAACCCTAACCCTAAATTCTAACCTAACTATAAAAAAAAAAAAAAACTAAAAAAATGCACCCCCCAAAAATTTCAAAAATTTCATATTAAAATATTAAAAACTGTTTGTCATGGTTTGTGAAAACTATCTTACTGTGTACCTTCAATAAACTTTCAATAATATTTTTACTTTATGATCATTCAAGATAAATCCGATAATGAAAATAGAAGTCACCCGTGTTGTATCCTTGACTTGTTCATTAATTAACATTTCTTTTACACTGTTCATTAATTGTCATTCCTTAACATCGTTTTTTATTTATCAGTTTTGGTTTTTGATATCGTGCTACTTAATGGAAAATCACTTATTAATTACTCTTTGGAAAAGCGGCGTGGATTTCTAAGATCTGTGATTACAGATAGGCCAGGTTATATCCAAGTTCTTCCTCACAAAGTAGGAAATTCTATGAAAGATTTGACTGAGGCTATGGATGAAGCTGTTATGAAAAGGTATACTTATTTATTAATTATGTTTAATAAATAAATATTTTCTAAACATCAATCCTTCTATATATATATAGGCAAGAAGGGATTATAATCAAAAAGCCTTCTAGTACTTATGTTCTTAATGAACGCGTTGATGAATGGGTTAAGATCAAGCCTGAGTATTTGGATACACTTGGAGATGACTTGGATTTAATTGTTATTGGTAAGCACTTTTTTAAATTTTTTTTTTTTTTTGTATTTCAAAAATATTTTTATTAAAACTTTTTTAAAGGTGCCGATTACGGTGCAGGAAACAGAGGCAGTAAGTTTGGAAGTTTTATGTGCGGATTAAGGGATTCTAAGGCGGCTGATGATGAAGTTAGGTTTGTGTTGTCAAATTATTACAAAAATTGTAAATTGAATGCTAACGAAATTCAATTTAATATTTTATAAATCAAGAATCTTATCATTTTGTCGTTTTGGTACTGGGTTCACAATGAAAGAGAGTGAAGAATTTAAGTAATTGGATTTTTAAATATTTATTTAAAAGTTCTCGTTTCTATCTTTGTTTCATGATATATATTTATTAACACATGTAGATCATTAGAAGGCTGGGTACCCTTTGATCCTAATCGAATACCAGATTGGCTTATAATTGGTCGTGATAGACCACACATGATAATTCCACCAGAAAAGTAAGATTTTAATATTCATTAATTGTATTTTAAGTTTACATCATTATAATACTTAATCTATTGTTCAAAATTTATCATCATGGTTTTAAGATCAGTTGTAGCTCAAGTTAGAGCATCTGAAATAGTACCTGCAAGTAATTATGATGCATCAGTTACTGTTATTCTGATATTTATAGTGATAATATTTAATTAATTCTTATTATATAAAAGATGTATTTGCTGCTGGTTTTACCCTCCGGTTTCCTAGGTTCGAAAAAATTCGTCCAGATAAAGATTGGCATTCTGCCACTAACTTTGAAGGTTTATAATTTTTTTAAAACGTCTTAAATAAACATCTACTGCGATATTTATACTCTTTTTATTTCTTAAAAAGAAATGATGCATCTTAGGAAAGAATCTTCAGGACGTCTACAGTCTAAGAAAGTGACAGAAGACGACTTGGTGTAAGTTTCTTTCATTTTATCATATTCTGATATTTTTAATTTATGCATATAATAATTAATTTACATTTTCAACATATAAAAGGACAACTTCAAGATCAACAAAGAGGAAAATTAAGGCTCCACAGAGGGTACTTTATTAAATTTAACCGCATGGACTTTACGATAACAACTGATGTTTTTTTTTTAATAATAGGTTAGGCGTTCCGCTCTACTTGAAACGTACACTTCCCAAAGTGGTCCAGTCGAAAAAAAATCCCGGATATTTAAAAATATGAAATTTTGTAATAAATATTCTTTATATTTGATTTATTTAAATTTAATAATAGCTAATTATATATTTTATAATCAGATGTTATGGTGACTAAATATAAAAGTTTCACGAAGTCAGATCTAGAACGTATGATTAAAGAAAATGGCGGTGAATTTTTCCAACATCCTAATGCATCACCAAATATATATATAATTGCCGAATCGTTATCAAGTATTAATACAATTTATTAATATTTTCTTTCATATATTGTTAATCTCATTTTTTCTTATTATTTATTAATTTATATAATTATTTGGTATAAGATTTTCGAATACGTAAGCTTGCGGAAGTTGGACAACATGATATTATACACC